ACTTTTCAATCCTGTATTCAATTATATTAGGCACTAATCTATCCACACTTGCTATATTGTAGCACAGTCTGGGGAAATGTTATTAGCGATCTAATTACGTGCCTACTAAAACTACAGAAACGTACTGCGAGACTAATTCTTGAGCAGTCAACTGAAGTGCCTTCAATTGTACTTTTCCATAAACTCAACCGGGTACCTATATTTAATTTGATCAAAATGAGAAAAATATTATTGGTATTCAATACTTTGAAAACATCTTGGCCGCCGGATCTTCGTAAATTGTTTGTCTTTGTTCACGACTCTCATCCAATTCCAACTAGATTGTCTATTACAGACTTAAAAGTTCCATCAGTTAAGACTACACAAGCAAAATCCAAAATTTCCTTCAGTGGTGCAAGTTTATTTAATTCTTTACCTTCCGAATTGAAAGATATTGAAAATCACTCAATTTATTCCTATAAAAAGAAGCTCAAAACCTACTTTATTCAATTGAATTATGAAGTAGATCACGTTAATAAATTCCGGTGCATCATTGTAAGCATATTACTCATTGTCAATGTTACTCTCAATAGGATTTTCTTTTTATATATTACTATTAGATATCGAGGGCCATTGGGAAGAATACTATATTAAGTAATCAATGTAATCCCTCATTAAATAAAGTTTTATTATTATTATTATCTATTAACTCAAAATATGATTAAAGCTTTTAAATTTTATGTGCAAGCCAGCTTTTTGTTTGTTTGACAAGACACCCAGGTTCTAAAAAATTTGAGTTCGGGAAATTTTTTCTATATTATAAGTACCCAAATATGCGAAATTGAGAGCTAAGCACATTCATATCTGTTCAGTTTTTCATTTTATACACCCTGTAGAACCCTTTTGCAAAATTTCGGTGTCCTTTGCTCCGTGCCAAGTTTATCACAGCTACCACGGCAAACGGTCTGGTATAAGCACCCAAGTGTCTCAACGCGGACAAAAATACCGTTGTTCGAATCAGCGTACGAAATTGTACTCACGGATGCCAAATTCATTACTAAATAGCAGTATTCTAGCGATTTATAGCCTTTGAAAGTCAAGCGAAGTTGTATTGTTGACAATTGACAAATCGCTCAAAATTATTAGAACTAATTAAAAATGCAGTAGGTTTGATCCTTGATAACTTTCCTGTCGTTTGTTCTCTCTTTTTCGGCCGTATACGAATGGATTCATCTCACTTTTCTCTTCATTTTGATAGTATTTTGATCCGACAATAGTTTATTTTCAAGGTTTTAAAGCGAAGTTATAACCAAGCGTGCGGAACAACTGCCAGCCAACAGTAGGAATGTAACATACTACAAAATATATCCTTTGCTTGTAGCACAAGCTCGTAGGTGGAAACGCCGGGAAGTTTTATTTGTAAAGCACCATATTTTAGTACTGTGTCTGGTTTACTCTGTTCTTATAAAAGCATGGTTACCATTTAGCAGTCTTTTATCAAGTTTATATGCCATGACAATTGTTCCTGTGCATCGCTGTCTTTGTATTTCTGTCTTTGACTGCTTAACAGGATTTATTTGCCATTAATACGAATCAGACAAAGGACATTTAGGAATAGGTCTTCAACGTGCTGTTGATTTTTCGGCAATAATAGCGAGGCTAATAAACAAAACAGTAGGGGCTGATATGCTTTAATATTGGATTCTTGTGTCATGCACATGCAGAAATATAGCTAAAAAATGCAAAAATTGTCAACTTCCTGATTTCTTAGAAATACCATGTGCCAAATTTTATTGTGTAGATGTATGGAATAGCATCCTATTTCAAAGTTAAAAAGCAATTTAGAACCTGGGCAGGTGCCACAAATGAGAATTCTGCAATGTTTTAGGACCTATAATTCTCGAATTTGATATCATGCGTTGAAGGGTCTCGATTAGTAAATTTTTTTTATTTGCCAGGTGCAACTAAACAGCTATATATTACTGTTTCTTAGTAGAAAGAGCACTCCAGTGCAGCTCAGACCTGAAAACGAAGCTCTGATTAGCAGAGAAAATAGAGAAAGCGGACTATGATTGTAGGCTTCGGCGATTTCAGAAACTGGCATATTTTAATTAACTTGGGTCCTGGGACAAAAACTCGCATAGCGGTTATAAAAACCACGTTAGAACGATCTTAACTCCTGTTTCGTAGTTAGGATAGATGAGAGTATCGACGGTAGAAATATAAGAGAAATCTATTTTTGAAGCCCAGATCCAGTGGTCCGCTCTTACAGAGACGCCCTCTTAAATAAAAAATCCCCACAATTTATGCATGACTATTTTGGACATGTTACTGCGATGGAAACAAGGATTTATGATTTATTTTGGAAACAAAGATTTATGATGATTTACGAGGATTTACAACAATTAAGAATTTGTGATGCTATTGAAAAGAAGACAAAATTTACAGATAACCTTTGCAGGGACAAATACAACATATGGCCAGGAATGAGAAATGTCTACAGGATATGGGAATTAAGTGGCAATGCGCCCACATGCACCCTGAAATGACACCTCAACTTGCGAGCACGATTTTTGAGCACATGTTTATCGGGTTGCCGGATGTGAAAATAGAACGTGAAATTCAAGCTTTTCAACAGTGTATCATGCAAGAAAATCGGTCAGAAACTCGCAAAGTTTTTCAAGTTTAAAATTATAGTTTTTCAAAAATAATGTTGCAAAGAAGGACTTCACAGCAGGTTTTAAAAGCAAAAAAGAAGAGGTTTTTTAATGATCTACAACGAAAATTTGGCACAAAAGGAAAGCGAATGTATTGATGTTTTAGCTCAAGTTCCTTCTGTGAACCATGTACAAGATTTTCAGCCAAAAAGATGAGAATTTCTCCAAAATTTATCAAAAATAGAAGTCGGAAATCACAAGAAATATGAACACGGAACACAAGTGTGCAGATACAATATTTTTAATATTTTTTAGTATAAATATGCGATCAAACGCTCACAAAATTCGACCACATTAAAGTTGAATCTAGTTTAAGTTATTTAAAGATAAAACTTGTTTATGCAAATGTGGGCACAATTTCGACAGTTTTTGTGACCATTGTTGGTCTTCTTGTTCAAGTTGTTATTTTAGCTAAAGTATGTTTCAAATGACACCAGTTTAAACTTACTGTGTGCATATGTGCCCTTTTTGGCAAGAATACTTTGAGTAAAATTACACTAAATAAGTAGGATATTCCAAAATCACTGTTATATCTATTTTCATAAATTTAGTCCTAAAATGACAACTTGTTTCAGAGATATTATTGTGGTTTAAAAATACTTGTGTTGAATTAATGCGCTTGCTTGCCATGTGCGAATTCTAAAGCTTTCAAAATGCTTTTTTACTGTTTTTTATATCCCCATAAAACTTTAAATTGATAAGTAGATAATGTTGATGCAAACTTATTTTCTAGTAACTACACGTTCAATCAGAATGAAAATTTATCAAAATAGGTCGCGACGGTTGTTTGAAAAATGCCGCTTCTATCTGAAATGGCTTCCTTTGTGGGAAGCCATGGAATTGAAGTCCTAACAAAAACATAATCTAGCAGTTCTTTTGGGCCTATTGCTCGCTTATTTATCATGAAAATCACTTCACTAGAACATTTTTAATAATGTCTATGGGAAATTTTGTAGTTTTCTGAACTAAAGGTGTTTATTTTATAAAATAGCATGCGCGACAAAATTACTCTAATGTGGTTTCTCACGTCTGGCAAACAACAAAAGATGAAAATCCTTATTTCACCCTTTTTATAGCTATGTGGAATACCTGAATATTAGGTTATCTTTTTCATGTGAGCATACAGATAACATTTCTACACAATAGTCCTTATGAAGGCTTATTTCAAACTCAAAAAAAGCAATTGTTTCTTAGAGCCAGACTTCAAAAGAAAACGTGTGTCTGACATTTCATAGCAGCCTACACTGGTGCACAAAATAATTTTGGCTAAAAACTGTTGTTTTCCCAATAAAAACATGAGAAAATTGAGCTAAAAGTCTTACCTGTTGTATGTTTAAAGTTCTTTAAGTACAGAAGTGAATAGCTTTTGGTTTTGTCACAGCAAAGTGCCTTTCAAAATGTTGGCATTCATTGTCTTTGTGTTAAAAACACCTCAGAAAATTCCTATTTCATCACCTTACTATCATTGGTTTATATTAAAATAAATAAATTTAAGTACTATATGTCCTTTTAAATATATTTGAAGTAATTAAAAAACTTTAAAGGTTACAAACACTGTGTTTTGGCTTGCACACTTTGTTGAATTGAACACTTATAGTCACAGTTCCAAATTTCATGTTGTAAACTAGATGCCCCAAAAAGGCAAAGAAGTAATTTTTCGAAATATTTTTCTAATTCATATCCCAAAAGATGAAAATTGGTTGTAATATAAGATATATATTAATTTAGTAAATGAATTTATGGCGATGTTGCCCCTTCAGGTAAGGCCGATGGAAGTAAGGTATCAGCTTACCATAACATGGAAAAAAAAATATGTGCGGGATTTTTTCATTATTCATTATTTTCATAAATTGCTGTAACCATGCCCAAATGACGTCTGCAATCTATATCAAGTACACTACAACTACAAAATGGAAGCCCATAACATTTAATGTTGAACAAAAGATACCACATTCAGTATATTAATAACTATTAATAATTAAACGAGTTTCAAGTTGTCAAATGCACAAATTACTTAGGCCAGGTTTATACGGCGTGCTTTTCATGTGCCGAACTAAATAAAAACAATTGGCACATGAAAAGTACGCCGTATAAATCCAATTGGCACGGCAAATTCAATTTGGGTCGACCATAAAATTAAGTTCGACCGAACTGGTCGCACTTAATGCATTTAGCTCGGCATCGATTTATAGGGCAAACTTTTCATGTGCCGAACCTAATGCATAAATTATTATAATCAATTTTCCTTCCCAGAATGCATCATTTTTCTCAAATAATAAAAATATTCAGCAGTTTTTGTTCAAAATGGCGGCTTCACTATCTCGTCTGTCAGAAGGTTTTTGCAGCAGTTGCAAGCGTATAACGGAATATGAGTGCTTAAAATGTAGTGTCAAAGTTTGTAATGACTGCTCCACATTTGAGGACAACGAAGACGTGCAAGGGTGGCGGATGAGCAAAGCTGTAGGCTACTGCGAGGGATGTTATCTAACGAAAAGCGATGATGAATCGATTCAATCGAATGCAAGTGTAAATCAGAGTATGAACAACACAGGAAGCAAATCTACTAAAGGCAATAAAGACAAAGGTAGAATACTGCAAATTTTAATCAAAAAGCAAGTTGAAATGTTAAGACACAGTGCACGGTATATTACATATATTTCTGAGACAATTTCACTTTGGTGCATATTTAGTTATGTACAGCTTATTTACAAACATCTGGATACTCCATCTGCATTATTACATTTGTTTAGGCTAGTAAGCAACCGTTTGGCTAGTATGAAAGCACAAGCTCAGTAACTCACTGGTTGGGGGCCAGAGTAGATTCCATATAGAATTTAGACCATGGCATTGGGTTGTGTCATTGTCAGCGCATTGGTGTAACTTCAGCTAATTTTGGAAGCTTGCCAGCATAATACAAAACTAGGACTGGAAAAATTATCAGCAAACATTTGGTGTAAGTTGGCAATTGATTTGGCATATCTCCGGCATGACAATAACATGGAATTCACCTTGGCCCTTGGGTTGGGGGAGGGAGAGAGCTATCGTATTTATAGCAACTCCTAAGAATGGCATAAAAACTGTTAATGTATATAAACTTAGAAAGCTTTCTTGCTTTGGAATTCCCACTTGGAGCATTAACCCATTTAATTATTATCTCACAAATACTTCCTGTCGTGGAAGACTCCCTTTCACAAGTGTGGATGAAAGGCTATTTACTCACAATTCGTTAGAACCAGCCTGAAATGCCAAGGAGGGATCTGTGATGTAATTATAAAAAAAGGCTGTATTGTATCCTTTGACATGCAAAATGTGGTATATATCACTGGGATATATATGTTACACATACACTATGCAGTATACCTCCTGTTTATTTTTTATTGCAGAGCAGCACAATTTCAGTGTTAATGGATCAAGTGATGAAAGTAGTGATCAAACTACTGGGGCTGAAACCATACTAAAGAATACTAAAAAGCGTGGCAGACGAGGAAATTGGACAGTGGACGCCTTGAATGATTTCATTGATATAATTGTTAGCGACGAGTATATTAAGAAAAAGCTGATATTTACAAATACCAAAAACCAGAAGAATGCTGCAATTTATGAGAAAATATTAACAGAGTTAAAGAAGCGATGTGCAGAGCGAGGAGAAAAATTTGAAGCTAATATTCATCAGTTGAGAAATAAGTTCAAGAAATGTGTTGCCGAGTGCAAGAAAGCGGCCCTGACAATAAAAACTGCAACTGGAATCCAACGATTTCAGGATAGCAAAGGTTTTGGTAATTGGTTTATCCAGCTTTTCCAGCTCGTTAAGAGCAGGGATTCGTGTCAACCAGATCAGGCAGTGGAACCATCAGCTCATCTCACTGAAAGTGAATCAAAATCGGAGGATGCTTCCAGCAACAACCAGGGTGCAACAGCCAAACAGTTTATCTCAATAAAAACAAAGAAAGCTAAAAAAGATGATATTCTTAAATCCACACATGACCTTATCAAGAAAACCCTAAAAAATGACAAAACGGATAGTATGCTTCAGCTCATGAAAGAGGAATTTGAGCAGTCAAGGCAGCATGAGGTAAAGCTTTTTCAAATGTTGCTTCAATCCCAACAGCAACAGCCATCGACTCATCCCCAACCAAATGTATTTGGGCCCCCAAATCAGCCATCTCATCTGCAGTCAGTTTCATTACAACCAGCTACTCCATGGCCCCAAAATCAGCTACCTGTTGGGCAAGCAGTTAGCATAGAATCATGGGCTCAAAATCCTTTGGCAAACCAATACCAATGGGGAAGTCCTGGAAGCGACTACCCAGAAAACTACTGATATGCCATGCCAAAACATCTTTTGGCAATGTATATACTCTACTTATTTTATACAGTGTTTAGTATTTTTACACAAGTGACTATAAGAAATCCAACATGGTAATTGGTAAAATTTGACATGATATTCTCTTAGGTGAACATAACACATTAAAAACTATTTTACAAAATGGTGAGTAGCTGTTTTGGATAAATAAATAAGCAAAATTAAAATAAATTCAGTCCCAAAAAAACACAAAAGACTTGTGTAAAAATACTAAAACTGAACAAGTTGATGTATTCACCAAAGGCGAGGTAATTATCAGGGAATATTCACCTTTACTTTGTCTTGGTGAATATTCCTTTATATTCACCTCACTGTCAGCGAATAATTGTTAATTGTTTATATTGTGTTTATTATGTTCATTTGGGCCATAGACGGATTTTATAGGGGTGCACCCCCCAAAAATATATTTTGCACTCCCCAAAAATTTTGCAACTGTGCTCCCAGCCCCCGCTGCAGCTTGCTTGGAGGCACTACGCTCCCTGTCGCTTGCCTCTTCCCCCCATAAATGTTTGCCATCCCCCCTAAATTTTTGGGACCCCCCCCATCAGAATCTGAAAATCCGTCTATGTTCATTCCATTAAATTATTATAAGGGTGTTCATTATTTTGGTTACCTAGCATGTAAAGGCCTTATTTTTATGCCAAACAAGCAACTTCATAGGTTTATTCAGTTTCTGAAAACTTAATAGTTTCTTTATATGAAATGTGTTTCACAATATGTGTAAAATAAAAGAATGTTTTATTCATATTCAAGAACGTTTTACATGTCGTTTGTGAAATAATATCAATATATATCAGTATAGTATAAATCCTTAAGGTGGTTTAGCCAGAATACATTTTTGAATGTTGTGAATAGGGAAACCTAATTACAGTGTAGCCCCTACATGTCTTCTGATTGGCCAGTATCTTACAGCTATAGAAATCATACCACCTGCACATAACAATGTTAACTGGTACCAGGTAAAACTGTGTGTGTGATTTGTAAGATAAGCTAGTGGTGTTGAGGACTGGGACTTAATAGAAGATTTATGCTAAGTATGTTGAAAGATTGCATTTCCTGTCACTTTCGGTGTATAAATACTGCACATTTGAAATCAAATCACTACACCGGTCTCCTTTTCACGGTACAGCATTTTGGTAAGGGCTAGTCGGTTTTTGCTTCCCATTTGTGAAGTATCCTTTAGCTTCCTGCATGATCTCATTCCAAGAAGTGCACGAACAGTTTCCCTGTCCCGCTTTTCATTCGTTATAGGGTCAATTGACAGGTCGCATTTCTTGGATATGGCATCCCCATGTGCAATGCAGATATTATGCAGCACAATACAAGCAAGTGTTACTAATTTAGTTTGGGCAGCGCTGCTTTCACATTTTCGTAGAAGAACGCGCCATCTGCCTTTCAATTGCCCATATGCCCCTTCGATAACCATGCGTGCTCGGCTGAGCCTGTAGTTGAAGTATCTCTGCTTTTCTGTCAGGGTGGCATCTGTGTATGGTTTCATAAGCCATGTTTGTAAGGGAAACGCTGAGTCTCCAAGCACAAGTGGTGGTAAAGTTCTTCCCTCCATTTTCTTGCCAATTTCTGGAATGATCTCACCCTCTTCTATTTTATGCCATAAATCAGTCGACTGTAATATGACAGCGTCATGGGAGTTGGCTGGAAAACCACAACTGGCCCAAATAAAACGGTATCTAGCATCAACGAATGCCATTAAGACCAACGAATAAAAGTTCTTATAGTTGTGGTATTCCTTGCAAGATTCAAGTCCACCAGGTGGACACTTGATTGGAATGTGGCAACCGTCCACGGCCGCCCAACAACACGGAAATTGCCAAAACTGTTCCATATCGACCATCTTGTTTATAAACGTTTCTTGAGTTTTTGGTAAGTGTTTGCTCACTTGTGTAGTCCACAAGCACTCAACAATTGCTTGAGAAACTTGAGAAACAATATTACAAACCGTAGCAACCCCTAGGCCAGACATTTGGGCGATTGTATGGTAATAGTCACCCCTAGCGAGGCGATATAAACAAATAGCAAGTCTTTCTTCTGGTGTTATTGGTTCCTCATTAATGTTCTTTCGCTCCAATCTGTGTCTGATGGGTTTCAAAATGTGTTGATATGTTTTCCGTGAAACTCGTAAGGTCTTCTTAAATCTTGAGTCGCTGTATGTGTTCCACACTGTTGACCACCAGCCAGGATTTCGATAAAATCTTCGGCACGAACGATATCTGGATGTACTCAAACACATAGATTCCATCAAGCATAGAAGCGAAAGAATGGTATTAAGCAATATCTTTCTCCTCATAACAAGGAAAGATATCATATTGAACAAACGCATTCTTCTCCTACGGTTGTTCTCGATTAGCTTCCAAATAAGAAGACTTTTTAACTCATGAGAACGCTTTGAAAACCTCGCCATGTTTAATTCATGCTATGTATTTGATTTCCCGCCAAAGCGCGCCAACACGTACACCGCTGAAAGTTATGTTCGCAAAACACAATAAATGAATTTGGCGCGACTTATTAAGTTCGCCGTATAAAACAAGCGCTGTGCTAAATAAACTAAAGTCGAACCAAATATTAATAAGTTCGGCACATGAAAAGCACGCCGTATAAACCTGGCCTTAGTTTCCCGTTTTATGATTTTAGCTTTCAAAAAACAAGCTAAAATTTATTATCTAACACAAGAATAATAATACAGCATTATATTATATTATTCATGGACGTCTAAAACAATGTAGGGTAAAAACAATGCTTCCATCATCATGAACTCCTAACTTCATATTTGTTGTATATCTATATTATTGTAAAACTATATCACAACTTTCTTTAAAATTTTATGTACTATATATTAACTGACATTAATAGCTATCGTTTGAATTTAATATTTGCTGTAATAGGGGCCTTGCACTAAAAGCTTCTTAAAGCTTCTTAAAGTTTCTTAAAGGCTCCTAGCTCTAGTATTCAACAGTCATTATACTGTATATTCTATCTTAATTATGTAAATAGGGCAAATTTTTAAATAAATAAATAAAAAAATAAAAACTAGCTTTATCCCCACATTCGTTGCATTGTGGGTATGTGTTGCAATCTTCATTTTCGGTTTCATTTGGCATGTATTGACCACAATGAATGCAAATTGGCTCAAATCTGCACAAATAGTATAACTTTCCCACATGCTTGGTGTAAAGGCTAATATTATACCTCAAATTCAAATTGTCCAATCAGGAAGCTTAGTTTCTGCCATGTGAGCATGAAATTAATAACGATGTCACACCATACGTCATTAATTTCCCTGGGAACATGGGGTGGAACATTATTCGCATAGACCACGCGAGACAACACGCATGACCACATGGCCGACAAAATATAAATAGTATTGATGAGTGATGAATAATCAAAATTTAAATGTAAAGCCTGGGGCTTTTTCAAAATTTTTCAGCAAATTTGAAAAATGTTGTCATTAATATTCCAAACAATATGTGATTTGAAAGAAAAGTGACTATACTTGCGGTAATCCGAAAATAAAACATCGTATTCACGAAGGTATGTGTCAAGTTTTTAATTCTCAACTTGGAGGCTTTTAATTTTCGGTACAATATATCATTTATAGACCCTCCACTTGGGGGATATGGCGAAATATTACCCTCAGTGATGATATTTCCCTCAGGGCAAAGCCCCTCGGGACATATCATCACTTCGAGTAATATTTCGCTGAATCCCCCTCGCTCCATATCTATAAATGATAAAAGTAACACATTCCAAATATCTTTACTTTGTTAACAATGTCCTGTGCTGGATCTCCTTTAATTTCTTCCTTGAGAGCAAATGAAGATGAGGCAGTTGCAAAGGACAGTATGATGCTCTTACAATTGCCATGTGTTTTGCATGATTCATAGACACCACTTAAAATATCAGTAAGAAGAGATGAGTAACTGTAAGAGACATAGTGTCAACAAAACTCCATGGCATTAATATTTTTTGCTTCTTTCGTCTGCAACCCTGACAGAAAATATGGTGCATTCTCATGTTCCAAACAATCTAAAAAAATACTAAAACTTAAAGTTTTTCATTTTTTAACTGCCAGATCTCAATTCAGTTCTGGCAGTTTACAGGCTATATATTTATTAAATACATACATTTTATACAAATACAATATAGACATCATGAACACAATATCAAATTGTTTATATTTTCATGTATATTTTATTGTGCGCAAGACAAAGATTTACAATTCAAACAACTGAGCAGATCTAGCTGCACAAATGCTATATTAAAAAAATTTAGACAATTTTATTCAAAAATTCCTTCAAGCTTTATTATTTATATTATTCACCACGAATAAGAGATCAAATCGTTTATATTTTTATATATTTCAAATGGTAAAGACACAGAAAATTTGCAGTTTAAATTACTTACCCAATTTGCATCTTCATATATATTGATCGCCATATTGCTTTGCCTGAGAGTTGATATTATAAACATTGTGCCCAGGCTCTTTGTTCGGTTCAATGGTTTAAAATTTGAAACACGTCATTTCAGACTTTACTTCATTTTTTATAGAAAACGAAGCTTTACTCTAAGCAAAACAAATGGGTATTGCAAAAAGTGTTAAATAAAAAAACTAAAATAATGAAAAATACACACGGGTGGGTTACGGTAAGCTGATACCTTACTTCCATCAGCCTAATGGGTGTCATGAAAAACAAAGTGGCACTGCTTTACAAATAAAAATTCTCACTGAAAAAACCAGGGGCACCGATCGATAATTGGGGGGGGGGATATTCATATATTCATGCTCTGCATAATTTATTTCCTAGCTCTGAAAGCGATTGTTTTTACAGTCTGTGAACATGAATATATGAATATCTGGCCCCCCCCCCAATTATCAACTTTCTGGCACCCCTGGAAAAAACTATATATATATATATATATATATATATATATATATATAAAGGAGAACAACTACAGTGATTTCCTCACACACGATCAAATCTCATAGTTGTTATATTTCGATTTTAGAAGCCAAGATTGATTGCGATTGAAAAGTATATTTTATTAAACTACATAAGAAAAACAACGTCTGTTATAGAGAGAACCCGAAACATGAGCCCATGATGCTTGCAGCTGACCAATAAATTAAATATGCTAAATGCACTAAATCATTACAACTTCCTTATGAAAAAAAAGTCACTAATTCCTAAAAGTTTTTCTGTTCTGAATCTCTTTGTAATGTTTCTAAAGTTCAGGTAAGTTATAAATAAATAATTTAATCTGCATAGTCAAACATTTACTTCATTATGAAATCATTAAATCTTGATGGTCTCTTTATTATTCTTCCTGTCAATGTTGTTTTAACTTCTTGTTCTAACTGTAGATGGAGGGATAATTTCTGGGATTGTACTTGATTGAGATTGGGTTTCATCAGCAGTGACTAGTGCTTCAACATTTTCAGGGGAGGGTATAGTTCGAATTCTTGTTACTAAAAATAGCCCAAAATGGCCAAAATCTGAAAATTCCATCCTTTATAACTCTTGATTGAATTAAGATAATTCAATTATTGTTTCGGTTTTGAAGTTTACACAACATCTTACTTTAGAAAAATTAACTAAGGAAGTCTTAACACTTAAACAAAATATTGACGCCAAAAGGATGACGTCAATTTCCCGCCAATGTTTGAAAAATTAAAAAAAGTGAAACGAGAGCATATCTTAGAATGAAACAATCTGTCAAAGTATAAAATATCAGATCAATTGGATAAAAGCCCTCAAAGTTACACTTAAGTGAGCATTTTCGAGGCAATAAATCCCCACTGTGAACTGAGAATTTTTAGGTCATGAAAGATTGGCTGAGAATGTTCAAAATAAGATTTAAAAGTCATTAATCTGATAATCCTTTATTGAATATTAACTAACTTTGAATACGAGATTTGCAGGTGTTACCCCAGATCAAATTCCCATAAGCTAAATATGGATAGACCAATGCATAATATATTAACTTTAAGGAGTTTAAGTTTGTAAAATGTCGAATCTTGGAAATAATTGCTGTACATTTGATATTTTTTTTTGTAATCAAACTAACTGTTCACACCATGTTAAGCATTCGCATTCATCAATAACGATTCCTAAAAATGTTGTGTTTTTTACTTGTTTTATCGATTCATTGTTGATTGAAATTTTTATATCATAACATTGAGAAACTAGAAAAACAAGAGTATTATTATCTGGGAATGATAATAGCCAGTGGCGTAACGTTATATCAGGGGGCCCCCGGTTCAAAATTTTCGAAGGCCCTCCTAGTAGACATACCAAAGGCACGAGTCGGGCGCCGTATATGCACAAAGTTTTCTAGGGGGTCCAGGGCATGCTCATCCGGAAAAATTTTGAATCTATACTCTCTGAAATGCCATTTCCTGGACTTTGGGGAGAGATTTTACAGAATTCTGATGGTCAGTAAATAACATTGTAACATATCAGAGGCCCTGGCCAATGTTTTTGCTCTATAGCCTAAGCCTGGGGGCCCCCATTTGGCCCATTGGGGTTGGGGGCCCCCGGGTTCTCCCGGTCTGAGCCCATAGTAATTACGCCACTGATAATAGCATTACCACTTTTGCAAGGAGGGAGCGGTCCTCTATGTCTTTGCAAACCGGTGGCTGAATATATTGCCTATGGAAATATCACATCGGAAGCAAATGTCAACAAATTCCGGAGAATGAAAGCTGCTAGAAATTGAAGCAGGTGTTTTGCTTTCCATTTTTTTATATAATCAACCTGGCTGGTCTTTCTTTAAATGACCCCTAAGTTACAGTAATATTTGTTGTATATGCAAAGACACAATGCTTCCCTGGAGACACAATGCTTACATATCATAACAAATCTTGTTTCCAAATCTTTGCAGTTCTAAGTGCCTTATTCTACTGAGTTTTATTCATGGGCATTCTTTATAATGATGTAGGTTTTGTCATATGATGACCAGCAGATACAGCAGTACACTGATGCACATTCCAAATTCCGTTTTGGTTGTGGCTACAGTTCTGCAACATCTTCTATCACATCCTCCAACAAAAAATCCTTGGTTCAGTTAATAACAAAACAACAGTTATTTTGCAAATGCAAAGCAGAGGTTCATCAATTTGTTGAAGGTTCGGCCTGAGGGAATTTTACTAAATGCCCCAAATTGAGCGGCGCCCAAGGGAATTTTACTAAACAACCCTCATCCTCATCATTGGTACTGAGCTGTTGTTAGAACGCTGTTGCCATTAACAAACTTACTACAAATTGTTGCAACAACACTAATACAGTTTGTCATGAAATTGTTAGCAATTTGTTCAACAACTGGGAACAAGCAGGGCCAATATATCATGTTGTAAAACTGTGGTTTTTACGTGTGAAGTCAGTAACATAATATATTAACATTATA